GGGTGGGGCTGCTTGGCGGAGTTGTCAGCGACTGCAGGTGGTCCACTTGCCGAGCACAGTCGTCTGCCTGCAAAATGGAGCGTTTCGCAAAAGCTAGTTACTCCGAACTGTTTTGGCCCCGGGGTGCAAGCAGTTCGGAATCAAGGTCTTCGAGGCATGCTGCTCTCTAACGCAAATAGGGGCTACTAGTCACATAACCAACCAGCTAGCCCCGCAAGCACAGTTCCGGCCACGGCCTTCGAGAAGTGCACTGCTTTGCGCCACCTCAACCTGGAACTAACGGAGTATGACCCCACTAACCCGAGAAGATGCTTGCCTGAGTGTTGTTTCTTGGAGGCAGGAATCGTCTCGCTCTTCCTGCCACCAGACTTCAATTGGGTTGGGCCTGCAGCCTGCGAACGCTGTCAACAGCTTCAGATAGTCGACCTTTCCCGAACGGAGGTCATCGAGATACTGGGATCCACCTTTGCGCACTGCTCGCATGTGCAACAGCTTAGCCTCTCTTGCAATTTGCGAAGGATAGAACAAGAAACATTTTTCAAGTGCACCTCACTACGAGAGGTACGCACCCCACCAACCTTGCTGTACATTGCTCGGCGAGCATTTGCTGGCTGCACGCAACTTCGCGCATTCCACAAAACTGGGAAAAGAACGACCTGGAGGGGGACATATGCTTGGGCCAACGCCTTTGAACAATGTGAGCAATTGGACAAGCCTAAGTGGCTTCGCTTCCTGCCGCCAAACGCCAAAGATAAGTGGGCGGATGATTTCTCTGAAGCAGTGCGCTAGGACTTACAGTAGCTTAGTCAAACTGTGCCCTATGCCTAGACTTGCACCCATGTGCTGGTCCTGACAGCAACATGAGCCAGCTATATCGTGGGTGTACTGCAATACTGAGCGGCTAGGCAGTGCCTAGGCCACCACCCGAGTGGTGGTCCTGGATGAGTACAGATAGTACAGACCTGTACAGTGATTAGACCTAGGATAACGGCGTCTCACCCTGTTTCACTTAGCTCACGGGGCTTGCACGCTCATGCATTCTCAAGATGGAACACGGCAGCACAACCGCAAGGCGCCTGCTAGACCGCAACACAAGCCTGTGCGCCTCTCAACAGTCCTACGTGGCTCCTCGAGAGCCTTTCGACATACTTGTCTCTCAGTGTCCTTCACTGTCTTTCATTGCCTTTCTATGACTCTGGTGGCAAAGCTGTTCTCGAGTCATCGTTGCCTTTAGATAGTGAACACTCCCGCCTCCCTCCTGGGGGGGGGGGTGGTAGACCTGCAGAACGTCATAGGACTATTTCATCCGATCAGTACAATGTTGGTATGGCTCCACTGTTTCAAGCTCTCGAAGATTTGCAGTCCTCGATTGGTGACACAGTTGTTTTCCTTGAGCCGAGATTGCTCCCCTTACATGCGATGTGTTCGTGCTGCTGGAAGGTTGTGAATGGTGCGCAACTCGCTTTCGTTTGACTGGCCGTCCTGCTGGCCGCATCCGCACCTGTATTCTGTGAAGGCTTCGCCAAACCCTTTGAAAACAGGGTATACGGCCGCGTAACCTGCCTGTTTTTGCATCAACACCCACATGAATTCGAGCTCTGGGTGCAAGTCTTACTATCTCCCCGCGGAGAAAACATGAAAGAAAACATGAAAGAACAGGAAGGTGACGTACTGAGTGCCAACCAAGGCTGAATTCATTGCCCCTTGTTTCACACTGTCTCACCGCTTCTTCGGCTGTCTCAGCCATCTTGAGGTACGAACCTTGCCTGCTTTTCTGGTTGGGTTCGTTTTGGGTTTTTGGGTGTTGTTTGGTTCTTCTCGGTTTGTTGCTCGGTTCGTTTCTCTCTCCTTTACTAGCTTAAGGTGACTTGTGCACAACCTGCACACACAGCGCCTCGACTCGTGCAAAAAAAGGACACCAGTTTGGGGTCCAAAAACCCAACAAAAAACCGGTCCCGCCACGGAGGGCCTTCCCAGCACCTGCAAAATTCTCACCCAGGTTGATCTCTCTCACACCGCATTCGTGCCATCCATCAAGTTATTTTCCTGCTGCGTGAGTTTACAACACACATTGCTCCCAAAGTTGTCACAGGACATCCATAAACACACATTGTCTTAAGTGCAGGCCATCCACAGTGAGCACGGAGAACGCAGCTCATTGGTGCTTGATGACAGCCTGCCGCTGCAGGCTCAATGACCCAGTGTCAACATGCCAGCAAACAGTTGTACCGCATTTTTGGATGGCCAACCTTATGGCCCCTTTTTGCTCTCATTCATTGCCCAACCTTGGTTTCACCCCATGCATGTACATTCAAGCTCACTTTCAAGCTCCATTCTGGTGTTTTCTGCTGGTCGGTTTGGGGGCTTTGTTTTTGTGTTTGTTGGTGTCTTGCCCTTTTCTTACACTTCCCCACAATAACGCAGACCACAGTGGAGGCTTGGTGCCCGCTTGTCACGTTAGAGCGCTTCACTGTTTTCCACAGCCACCTGCAAACATTCGTGCACTCCGCATTCAAAATGTTGGTACTTGAAGAGGTACGGCAATCTGGTCTAAGACTGACTGCGCAAGACAATGGATGTTCAGCTGAAATGTGTTCTCATCTGCGGCGCAAAACGCTCCAAAACCAAGCGTGGCCGATGCTGCTGCTTCTTTGCTGATTTTTTTTGCCCCCTTTTGCCAAGGATCAGATTGAAATTTCAAAGGATCAGATTGAAATTTCAATCCAGTGTGTTTCTGTTGCACAATGACAAGATTGTTGAGTGGTGCGTGTTTTCAAACTCATCCGCAAACAAATCGGTTGCGCAATCTCTTTGACAAGGTTTGGTTTGAACTCTGAATGCGGAACACTTTTCCTTCTTTCGCACCACTGGAACTCCTTCATTGACCAAGACTTGCAGAAGGACCGAGATTTTAGATCAAATCGAGATCACAAGAAATACATTTTTTGTTCAGGTTCGAGGATTCTTTGAAGAAGTCAGTTTTCATGATGAATCCAAAGTTTTCGATGAAGTTTTCAGAGAACTGGACTGTTTCTGTTGGAAAATTTGGTTTGTCTGGTTGACCGTGAGCCTCACGTCAAAAAATCCTTTTCGTTGTTCCGACCACAGGAGAGAGAAGAGATGATGCGTCAAAGCACTTGCCTTTTTGAACAAACCATCCCTTCCATGGATGCTACAAAGCCGAAGGAAATGTTTGCAAGGGCGGTTATTTTTTCGTGGACTTCAATTTGCCGGACTTGTGGTTGTCTCTTCTGGTTCGCTTTGCTTAGTTTCACCGTGTATTTCTGTTCACAACTTGTGTGGCGATGGGCGGCACCGTGTGCAATAACGTTTTGAGGGGGACAAAGAGAGCATTTTCAATCTTTTGCACAGTTTTTTCCCAGCCTTTGCTAAGACAAACATCCAAAATTTTACAATATTTTTCAACATGTTCCGCCTGTGTTTGCTGTGGAACAGAGACACAGATCAACCAAGTCTATATGTGAATAAATGTGTTTGTTTGCATGTGTTTCAACACTCGACCTGAATCCACGACTTTTACGGTAAATCTGATACAATTTGCATGACAAAACATGGTTCCATGAATGCATGCATGTTTTTTTTGCCAAAAACGCGCACAACGTCTTTGAGCCTCCACTGGAAGACATCTTTGGGGCAGGACTTGAATCCATTTCATTGCAAAAACCGTTGCATGCACATCGACTGGAAGACATCTTTGCTGCCCTCCTTCAGGAAGCATCCTTTTCATTCATCCTTTTTGCAATATGTTCTTCTCTTTCCCTCCCACCACCCACAATTTTCTTCGCTTTACTGTTTCAAAACAACCTTACGCCGGAGTTTTCTACATCTAAACGCGAATAAAGTGATGTTCAGCAACTACTGTGCGTTCAGCAACTAGGTTTCAGAAACTGGTTTTGTCGGTTTCAGCAACTGCGGATCAGCAACTCCCTGCGTTCAGCAACTGGTTTGTCGGTTTCAGCAACTGGTTTTGTCGGTTTCAGAAACTGGATTTGTCGGTTTCAGCAACTGGCTTTGTCGGTTTCAGAAACAGGTTTTGTCGGTTTCAGCAACTGTCCTTATCGGTTTTGCAATGGATATTGGGGGTGGGGGGGGGGGGTGGGCCGGGGGATAATGACGTCCGTTGCGCATGCTACGCTTGGTTTCCCAGTTTCCGGGACCTATGTTCCCAGTTGCCGAAACCCACCTTCCCAGTTGACGAACCACAATTGCCGAACATAATTGGCGAGTTGCCGAAACCCACCTTTCCAGTTTCTGAAACCCAGTTTCCGAACCCACGTTTGAGTTTCTGACCCACAGTTTCCGAAGCCCTCGCTTTAGTTTCCGAAACCAACTTTTGAGGTTCTGAACACCACGTTGACCATCTAAACGCTCTTTAGCTTTTGGTTCGTCATCGGCGAGCTTACTGTCGTGGAACATTTTCTCAACACGTGCTTGCAACATCAATATGTGGATGGACCGCAATTGCGCGATTCAACGAAGACTCCTCAATCTGTCTCGAAAAATGGTGTTTTGCGTTGCAAACATGTCGTGGTCAAAGAGCCTCGGCTTTGCTGTGCTTGAAAACTGAAAAGGTTGGAATGCGATTACATGTTGGCAAATAGACCTTTGGTTGGAAAGGTCCATCCACGTCATTGCCCTGGATCTAAAGTTTTTCTTTATTTAGATGGGGCCTGGCATGGTTACCTGGTTGCATGCATGCACACGAGAAAACAATAATGGAACATTTCGGAAACATACAAGAACCATGTCGGGTCATACAAATCAAATCTCCATGTCATTGTGGGATTTGTAACTTGCTATCAAACCTAGTTTACTGAAATTGCACGAGGAAAGAGATTGGGGGTGTTTTGAATTGTCAAGTCATGAACTCCAAACTAAAATGTGTGAAATTCCTTGGATGATGATCATTCCTTGGAATTGTGCGTTTGTCAAAAAATCTTTCCGCTGGTCATTTGTGTGTGTAACATGAATCTGAATACTGGCTCGAAGAAACCTGGCTCCATTTGGTGAAAGCGCTGAGGCGGCTTGTTGTGTGCAAAAACCAGAATAAGCTTCAATGCAGACATCTTGTTCAGGATGGATGAGCTGCAACCAAATCCTGATGAGACCAAGATGCATGAACCATTCATGTTTTCTTGTCAGTCTAATGCAGCTCGGAAAAGATGTGCTCAAGTTCTGACGGCTGCTTCATCCTGAGGATTGCGGCAAATTTGAGCCGAACCAGTTTAAGCAGGACAAAAGAAACAGCTTCATTGCTTTAAAGCACACGCAACCGTGTGCACTTGCTTGTGTGAGGAAAAATGCAAGCACTGCTCGAGATCATGGACAGAGCATAAAGGCGTGATCTCGGAGGCTGGGTCCAAGAAAACCATCATTTCAAGGCCAAACATTTTTTTGGTAGGCAGAACGTTAAACGGCCATGACGCGGCATTGATGCAGAGTGAACAGTGTATATGGTGATTTGCAGGAGTATCTTCAAAAGTTCCTGCAGAAGAAACTCCAGGTCCAAGAGGAAAAAGAGAAAAAGGAGGCACCGCAAAGGAACAACTGCTAAGCGAAGATTTTATTTTTTTAATTTGATGTTCATATTCATAAATCCCAAAGATATTTTTTCGATTTGTTGTAACTTATGACGTCTTGGATATTTGCAGGACAACCTTTAAAGTGTTAAAACTGAATTGTTTGGTTTAATATATAGGAACCATCTCATATATCCGATCAGCTTGTTTGTCACATTCATTGACATGATGCGCATGGACATGGCCTGGTTTGACCCAAGATGGCCAACCTCTCGTTTCCTACAACAGCAGTGACTCGTGACCTTGATTACATCTTGGTGCTCGGTCCACTCAATCAATTCGGCCCAGGCTGAAGCGCAACAGGCGGCTGCCGCCAAGAAGCTGGCAAAGAAGCGCGCCAGCCAGGCGGGCAAAAGCACTGGTGCCTATAAATGGACAGGTCTTGTCGAGCTATATATATATATGTATTACTTTTGCCTTAATCAATGATGTATCACATAAACGATGTCACCTAAAGTACGTAAGTTGTAGTAACACTATCTACATTGTGTCTTGCAAGAAGGGTTGACTTGCAGCAATCATGTTGTCCACAGGCCGCTGAAGACGATTGGCTCTTTGGCGAGCGGAAGGACACCCTAAAGGGGACACCCCAAAAGTTGTACCTCTCCGTACCTCTCTGTTTTTGGCACAAAATGAACAGGTGACGATGCACAGAATGACCAGACAAATAGCGAGGTCAATGCTCATGGGTCCAGGAGCCAGAGCCCGACTCCGACGATGATATGGGCTTCCGAATGCACCAGACTCGTGCTGGGGGAACATCATAAGTCAAGTAGCACTTCTCCTTGTACGTTTAAAGCCAAAGGAACAAAGGTTCCAAGAGTCCATTGTTGACTTGAATGGAAGGTTTCTTTGCAGGTATGCGCTGTATTCTATCCTCCATTTCTGCGAAAGTGGCCAGCCATGGCTGGCCCAGTCAGCCTGAGGTTGCTGGGTAGCGAGATTGCAAAACCCCAGGCAATGCAGCCTGTGAGCAAGGAGTTGAAGGCGCAGCTGGAGTAAATGCATGGCTGGTGCCTCTTCTTGGAAATCCCCTTTGAAGGTTTCAAGAAGTGGTTTCTAGAAAAAAGAAGCAATAAGAAGTACTGTTGCTATGCCAATGTGAGCCAACCATTAACACTGCGTGCTCAATGTTGGACAGGTGCTCATAACAAACATATCCAAATGTACCGCAAGGTTTTTGTGGCAGAAGGATTATCAGCAAGTCTTGAAAGCTGGTCGGCTGTTGGTTGACTCAGGGCATCTGCTTGGTGAAGCTACAGACCAGAAGACTCGGCATGTTTTCATAACGTTTGCAGGTGGTCAATTTGATTGACTGGGGTGAATGCGATGTAGCCGACCAGGACTGCGCAGACTTTTCATGATACATTTTCTCCTTTTTATATAAGTCCTTTGAAGATTGCGCTGAATAACCCCCAATAGTGTTGAGACAAGTTTGTTACTTCTCAACCATGACCACCGCAACACCACCACCACCGCCACCACCACCACCGCCACCACCAACACCGCCACCACCTACACCGCCACCACCTACCACCGCCGCCGCCGCCACCACCACCACCACCATCATATCACAGCAACAGCAACAGCAACGGCAACAACAACAACAACAACAACAACAACATCCTTTTTCTTTCACACGTGCCCAGAGGGTAACGCAGCCATCAGTTGCGCAGTGGCGACGGACTCTGTGGAAGCATTCACCATGGATTCATGACCACAAATGCTCAAAAGTGAGGGAGGTGACGTGGCAGTGCAAACAGGATTGCACTATGTCAGGTTCACTAGCAGCGTCCAGTGGTCGTCAGAGAGCATCCGCAATCTGCCAGGGCGTCCAGCCGCTCTGCATCGGCTCGGTTGGCACCAAGTCCCCGGGCTTGGAGTGCGAAGAATCGAATCAGGTTTGAGGGTTCCTGCGGTGCCTTGTTTCTCTTGTCCCCAATGAATACTCCCGGTGTCTGAGCTGGGAGAAGGCAGTTCTGCTTTCCTGGCACGCCATGGCGTGGATCGCATCCTCGTAGACCTGGGATGTCAACTGAGAGCTTGCGGTACTGACGGTCGTCGAGCGGTTCCATCAATCGGGGGGGATGGGGCGAGCGAGCAACTACTGCTTGCGAGAAGAGTGGTTCTGGTGATCGCAAGTTGTGATGCTTGGAACCACGAATGTCTGTGAAATCACTAGTGGGCATGTGATGCCAATGGAGAGTCTTCACTCCAGGAGGGGTCATGGTCCTCCCCAACCCTCGCTCCAAGCTGGCCTGTGGATTTGGGAGTGCAGATGCACTTGATGCACAAGGGAGAAACGTGTTGCACTCACTTATGATGCTTTGGCATGCGAGTGTACAAAGGCAGGTTCTGCAACTGTAGCAGCCACCCTGAAACTTCCAGCTTCGCAACTTTCAGCAGTGCAGTGGTGAACAGTGAGACCGCGCCACCACAACAACCGCGACGACGAACACAACCACAACAACCACGACAACAACATTTTCTTGAATTTGTTGTAAAGTTTCGTTGGGTGTTTGGATGATCAGCAGGAGCTTCCAGGCGGCGAGGCCTGTGTTCTTCGTTAGAAGGGGAGATTCAAAAAGCTACCACAAGAAAAGCAGCCTGCCGTTGCCCTCTTCCATGATCGGGAATCAACCTTGCAGTTGGCAAGACCAATTGTTTTGCAACTTCCTTCGCGGAGAACATTTTGCAGGGCGGCTACTGCAACGGTTGACAAACTTGAAACATCCTTGAACAATGTTGAACAGCATGAATGTGGGATGTTGTGGAATCTTGATTCCTGATCGAGCTTTTTGGCGGAGGCCACGGGGAGCTCCTCAAGCACTCGCGCACCAGCGCTGGAGGCCAGGGCTGAGCTCTACACGCCTGGACGAGGCAGGATGAGCGGAGAGAGGTGTCTCAGCTTGGGTCGAATAACGATGGTATACATTGTTAAATATGTAAAGCAATATGCTGGGCAAAATCTATTTTTTGCGTTTGAAGCGCTGAAGGATAAAGCTCGTTTGCACGATGGTCTGTTCTTAGATCTTGTTTGGGCATGGATGGAAGGTCTTAAACCCTGCGCAGACAAAATTTCAGGGGGTAGATTACACGGCATGTTAAAGGTTTTGAAGTTGCTCAGGTGACTCAGGAGTGTGATTTTATTCTACTTTGAGGTCCACGAGTCCACACGTGCGTTGTTTTCCAACCTAGGGTCAGGGTGACACTGGGGTTTCCCGTAGACCTGGCCATGAAGCCACTTGTTTGGGTTGTGTCATGTTGTGTACAAGGTTTTCCGTGACGAACCCTTTGTCCCAGCTGGTCGGAAAACATGCTGAGAGATGAAATTCATCAACTCCTTGTGCTGCGGAAGCCCGAATGGGGGCTTTTGAAGCAGGAACATGCTAGGATTTCTGATTGCACATGTAACACATGGGTCGCAGGGGCACACTCCACGCATGAAATCTGCCACTGTGATGGAGGTGATTTGGGCTTTCAAGACACCGTGAGCTGCTAGCTCAGAACGAATGACAAACGGACTTGCACAGCCAGAGCCTTCATGAGCAGGTCTAGACCTGATGAAACCCTGCAATGTATCTATATCTATATCTATATCTATCTATATATATATATATTTATGCACATATATATATACATATATTACATATATATATATACATACTATATATCTCACTCTGTCTCCGACTATACATATATAATTTGTCTATGCTTCCGCAGAAACACATACATGTATTTACAAACGCCAAAGAGGCATGCTGCAATTCTTCATGGGAGCGGATAGTAGCAGACACGTTGAGGCCAGTTGTCTTCAACTGGACCTGCGTTTCAGTCTGGCAGCCAGGAAGCTGGGGGCTATAGCATCGCATCCATTACTCTTTGCCAGCTTCTGTGCTGAAGTACAGTATATACCTTTCTTCAAAACACCTGACCTGGCAGTGAAAGGGAGTTCTTCAATTTGTGTGGGGAATTCACTTCTCTATCTAGCAGGGTGCTGCAAAGGGACTAAGACTCGTTTGGGACGTTCTTTTGTCACTTTCACGCCCTACCAGGACTTGCTGACCGAAATCCAGCACTTGCGTCAGATGCTCGCGGATGCAAACGAGGAGAAAGCAATTCAGGTGTGGAGAAAGGATTCGCTTGCGCTTCGCTGTGACCTTGGCCACTCCGCCCTTTTTGAAGGTCGCCATTATCCAGGACGAGGTGACTGAAAAGCAAGAGAAGATTCACGAGCTAGAGGTGCACGCAGTGCATACTGAAGATTTGCAAAAGAACGGCTTCATCACGTGTGGAAAAAGTCAGGCACTGCTCAGAGAAGCAAGACTGAAGGTCGACTCTGTTGATGAGAAGGCTCACGGATCAAAAGGGCCAATCGTGTCCGGACGCATGGGTCAAATGCACTTTCCATGTGGGGTGCCCATCAGGAGCCAATTGGACATGCCGACCCAGCAGAGGCCACTCGATTGGGATGAGACATGTAGAGCACTCCATCCAAACTTCAAGGGAAGCCATGGCTGGAAACTACGCACAAAATTAGTATTTGTGTGTTTCTTATCCTTGATGAACTTGACTCTGAGGCTGAAAGACTAAGAGCACGCTTGCCTGAGCTTGAGGCCAAGCTGGAGGCAAGGAAGCACAATAGCAGCATGCTGTTCGGCTGTTCGTTAGTGTACTTCATTGTCTTGACAAGAAGAAAGGTGATGTTGGGAAGTCCTTATTGACCCTCCACCATGCAAGATCCAGCTTGCAAGCTATCAACATACTAATCCATTCTAGCAGGGGTGTTTCGTAGTACCCCAACTGCCTAATTGTGAGACCTTTCCAACGTTGTTTTCGATCACAAGTCTGTTATGGGTCGAAGGATTATGATGGTGCCTTGTGCCTCCAGGTGTGTACACAGAGGCCTTTCATTGTAAGTTGTACGACGTCGTCAATGACTGTCAGGAAA